TGTAGTTTTCTGATAATGCACCCTCCCATCTTGGGTGCCTGCTCACACCACCCCCACCAAGTGCAGAGCTGGTTCTAGGAGCCCCAATTTTGGCATGCACGCGAGCCCACAGGTGTTGGGGGCTCGCCTAGCGCACGCTTCTCCCTCCCAGCAGAGTTGTACTGCTCTGCTGTTGTTGTTTTTCTTTAAATTCACTTGAACTTTTCTTCCCCCTCAGGTGGACTGCTGTTCAAGCATGTGCTGTGGTCATGCATTTTCCCTCGGGTGTTTTTTAAGGTTCTAAGTACAAAAGGATAACAGCACCTCTTCCCATTATTAGCATATTGAAAAACTGAATTGCAAAAAGAGTAAAAAAAAAAAATTCTTGATTCTTAACATAATGGCTACTTTGACACTTTTTTTTTTTAAAGATTTTATTTGTACATACAGAACTGGGGTACAGGCCAGAGGCTCAGAGGCGGTGAGAGGCTTCACCAGAGACAGAATGGGGAGCAGAACAGGCAGATCGACGAAGTACACTGCTGAGGGGAGCAGCGGGCGGGTCAGGAGAGGTCTGCCACGCCATGTGGTCACCTCGGGGGCAGACGGGGATCGAACTCATGCGGAAGCGGCTTTAGATTCTCAGTGCTGGGCTTTAACCCGCTGCGCCACCAGGGAGGGCCTACTTTGACACTTTTATTGAAATAACAAATTCCTTTTTTATATAGTTTTTAGTTTTTTATTATTTTTTACTTTCTTGTGTAGAACTGGGGTGTCGGTCAGAGGTGCGGGGGCAAGGGATGGTGGTGAGAGGGTTCAGCAGCGACAGCATGGGGAGCAGAACAGGCAGATATACTGAAATACACTGTTGGGGTGCAGCAGGTGAAACAGGAGAGGTCTGCTGCACCCTATATGGGTCACCTCCCTGGCTGGGGATTGAACTCAGGGCATAGCTGTGAGAGTGCTGAGATCTAACACCTAGGCCACCAGGGAGGCCCCTATTAAGGGGGGGGGGCTCTCTCTCTTTTTCTCTCTTTCTTTCTCTCTCCTGCCTCCTTGCTTCTTCCTTGAGCACATGATTAGAAGGATTCAAATGTTCAACAGGAAAAAAAATAATCAAGAGCATAAAGAGAGTCTTTACAGAATCAAATACAAGAAATTAAGATCAAATTTGGAATGATCTATACAAATTGTCATGTAAGAAGTCTCTGACATCCTAATAACAGCATGGACAGAGGAGGCCTGAGGACACTATCACTCTGAATAGACAGTGTGGGGCGGGAGGGCTCCCATTTGTCTTCCAATCCCTGAAGCTGAGAAATGACACACAAGCCATTACCCTTCTGTCCCTGCCCCATCACCCTGTGCTCTGGGGCAGGGCACTGTCCGCCTCCACTTCCCTCTCCTGAGAGCCCAAGCTCAGGCCACACACACCACAAACTTTCTCTGCTAAACAAAGTTATTTGTTGACCAGAACAAACAGTAAATTCTCCAAGCAGTGATGAGCTTTGTGATCGGCCTTTAAATGGGAGCGGGGTGCACAGAAGCTGGGGTCATCCTGTGGACACAGCTGTATGCTGCTTCTAGAAAGCATGCTAGAGTTTGGTGCTGTCTTAGTGCAGAGGTTTGCATGGAGTTACTCTGAGCAAAGAGTTCTGCGTTGTTGCTGAGGTCATGTGAGATCTTCAGCTTTGGGAACAGGATGGTAGAATGACCCGCACGCATTAGGAGACCCTTCCCTGGCACTTACATGCATAAAGGTGGAAGTGTTCCCCCTTGCTCCAAGCAAACACCTATCAGATCCTCTCCCATTTGCTCTTCCTCCAAGGTCACTTAGCTGTTGCTCAAAGCCCATTCTGTGTAGATGCTAGGTCTAACTGATGGACTTTGTACCTGGGTTCCACCCGTTGTGCTAGGATAGAAAAACTGATGAAAAGGTTGGGATCCGAGGGCCCTCCCAAGTGGGCAACAGGTTCAAGTGCAGCACTGCAAGCTAGCCACAGCCACCTCCATGCATGTTTGATCCCCAGGCTCAGGGGTGACCCACATGGCACGGCAGACCTCTCCTGACACACCCGCTGCTTCCTTCAGCAATGTACTTTGTTGACCTGCCTGTTCTGCTGCCCACTCTGTCTCTGGTGAGTTCTCTTACCATCCCTGCACCTCTGGCCTGTACCCCAGTTTTATATGCATAAATAAATAAATCTTTAAAAAAAAAGTTGGGATCTGAGTGAGAGTATCGTCAAAAATCTACTTGAAACAGGGCAGAGACCACAGAACTAATGGTCTTCTACACCCATATGTAGATAGACCTGACTCGTCAGAAGGCCAAGGGGAGTTAGAGCACAGGAGCAGCTCCACATACTCAATGGAAGATACTCCACAGTGACCACAGGAAGTCACATGACTTCAGGAACCACCTGACCCCCAAGCTTCAGGAACCCTCTGTTTTCATGTGACTGAGAGGGCTGAGTCTGCCATGGGACCATGGGCTGGGACTTGAACTTAAGTTTCCCAGGACTTCTAGGACTGCGCCTGACATGTGGTGGCAGGGACCACAAAACTCAGTGTCAGAGGCCCATAAGTTTCACACGGCTGAGAGAGTTACCCAGACCACAACCACTAGTAGGATCAGTGCCAATGTGACCTTTTGGACGGGTGAATGCTACCTATCACTAGAAGGTTCGTGGTAACATGCCTCTCAATGTTTAGGAGCCCTGGGGACAGGCTGCCACAGGAGAGTGGGTTCTACAGGTCTGCAGTGCATATTTGTGCAAATATGTGGGCTTTACATAGCTTTAGAAAAATTACCTTGGGACATGTATAAATGCAGGGTATGAAAATGGAGTCGCATATTTACAACAGAGTCTATCATTGAAGCCAAGCATTAGGTACCCACAGGGCTAGTGCCCTCAAGGGTCTTCTTAATCAATGTGGCTCAATGGACCATCCTGTTCCCAAACCTGAAGATCTCACATGGCCTCAGGAAAAACTGCAGAATTCCTTGCTCAGAATAACTCCATGCAAACCTCTGTGCTAAGACAGCACTGAACTCTAGCATGGTCTCTAGAAGCGGCATACAGCTGGGTCCAAAGAATGGCTCCAGCTTCTGCGCACCCCACCCCCATTTAAAGGCCGATCACAAAGCTCAACACTGCCTGGGAAACTACTGTCTGTTCTAGTCAACAAGCGATAATAGACCCCTGACCTCCTTTTCTTAGAACATTTACTGAAAAGTGCTTACAACTCTGAATATGTGTCTCTTCCAACACAGAAGTATCTTTCTCAAGGACCCAAGAGCCATTCTTTTTGACATGTAATTATCAGGAAGGAGAGGGTGCTGTGGGAGTCTTGGGCTCTATCTTCAGTAACTGTTAATTAATAAATACAGTTGGCCAAGCAGCATTTACACTGAACAGCCCTTTGTAATTTTTCATTTCTCTGCTAACCGAGCTCCTGCTTATTTACCTTGTATTTGCTCATTAAAACTCCCAATTACCCCTTCACAAATTCAAGTCAGAATGGAGGTCAGCTTGTTCCCCTATCGTCATTACTTATTGAAAAAACCTGTCCATACCACTTTAAATGTCCAATTAAACATCTTTGACATAAGTATTTTCGGTGCCTTCAGATGACCTTGTACAGCACACGAGCTTGGACTTCAACTGTTCCCACCCCCTTTACTGTGTTAGTGTTATGTGCTTTTTCCTAATAATAAGTGAAATTTTATATATAGGATATTGATTTTTCAGAAAAAAAGTCTATTCCAAGCATTCTTGATGGCTGCAAATGTATTCTAGGAAGAACTAAAAGAGGTTAAGCAGTGCATACAAGATAAAATTGTTGATTAAAATAATGTCAGACTAGAGGAAATTACAGTAAGTCCCATACACGAGCTTTAATTAATTATTTAATATTCAAAGTAATTATTTTGGTGAATATATATATAATGAATACTATAGGCCTGGCATTTTAAATGTAATTTTAACAACTCTAAGGGGTAGCTTCCATTATTAATACAGCTTTACAGGTGAGGTACTCCTGTTGAAGAACAGAGGTATTAAGTCACTTGCCTAAAAGGTCACAGAGCTTTTTAGCTGATGAAGCCAGGATTTGCCCCTAGGCAGACAAACTACAAACTGTTCTGATCACCCATGAGAACAAAATTAAAATTTTGTACCATGGTTAAAAATGTCTGTTAATAAGAACAATAAATCATGTTTATGGTCATAAACCTATTGAAGGAAGTCATGATTATTTTTGGAGTGAAGAACAGAATTTGATGATATTTGTGCAAATATGTGGTCTTTACATAGCTTTAGGGAAATTACCTTGGGACATGTATAAATGCAGGGTATGAAAATGGAGTCACATATTTACAACGGAGCCTATCATTAAACTTGAAGCTGGATTAGATACAGTCACAGTAGACCTACTCCAACCTTGGTTTTTGTAATTACCTCCAGATGGGAAGATACACATCCCAGCAGCAGAATTATACCTAGGCCATATATACTTAAATGAGACATGTATTGAAGGTGATTGCAATTAACTTCTCCCATCAAAAGATAAACTCTGGAGCTCTAATTATAACTCTTTTAATGTTAGATTTTCCTCATGTCAGACCTGGTTTTTGATCACAAAACCAGGGCTCCAAACAAGTGTGTGTCTTTGGGGGAGATAGCAGAGCACTGTAGAGGGTAAGTACAAAGCTGGTGTCCATCAGCTTTTTCTCCCTGAGGGCACCCCTGTAGGCCCCTTGATGTGTGTCACACTGACGCCTTCCTCTGAGGTCAAAACTCCAGGATAAGCAAACAGGCCCCCCATTCATAGTAAAACTGGGAATGTACTTCATCTATGCTCTGTCTGTGTCCTGATGATTGGAACTAGCCAAGAACTGTCTCTCTGAGGGGCATCCAGAAAGACAAACTTGCCTCCAGAGCCAGGTGATCAAATATATCCCTTAGGCAGCAGTCACAAAAGTTGGGGTAACAGGCACAAGTAAAGCTCCCTTCCAAAAGATAATGATGTTTTGGATTACAGAAGAGGACGAGCACAAATATGGAGCCTGCCAGCTGGAGAGAGTCAGTGAAGAATATAAAGATGGTGCCCACTGGAAGGGCAGTAAGATGGTGACCGTCAAGTGAAGCCAGGCAATGTGGTGTGCAAAGGTGGTCGCTACCAGTCTCTATGGTTAATCTCCAAGAAGGTCCCTAGATTAAATTATTAAATTATATGCCTGACTCTCAGGGAGATGCTTTAATATAAATAAATAAGACTCTTTTATAGGAAGTCAAGACATGATTGGCTGCCTTAGCACTGACTGGGCTTTAAGGCAGGTGAGTCCAAGTCAGTGAGCCCTTTAAGACTTGTTTCTCGGTTTGCTATAACTTCACAGGTCATGTGCATATGAGCCCCATAGGTTATTAAAGCTAGACTTTGGCGGGGCCTCAACTTTGAGGTGCACAGGTCTTAGAAACCAGAGCACCTGAAGTAGAATTCAAGCTCACCTCTGTCCAGGGAGAAGCTCTGGGTTCTGAGTTCCCTTCTGACTGTGTTATCCATTCCAGGACAGGGGGTGGTGGTGAGATTGTATTTGGTCTTTCCTACCCATTGAGGGGCTTCTTTTCTTTTCCCCTATCTGTATATGTTTTTTAGAGATTTGTTTATTTATGCATACAAGAACTGGGGTGTAGGCTAGAGGTGTGGAGGTGAGAGGATTGACCAGAGACAGTGGGAAGCAGAACACGCAGATCTACTGAAATACACTGCTGAGGGGAGCAGTGGAAGAGACAGGAAAGCTCTGCTGTGCCAATTCCCTGGCTGGGAATTGAACTCGTGCTGCAGTGGCTGGTGAAAGCTTTATAGTGCTGTGTCTTTAACCCCTACGCCAGCAAGTAGGCTCCCCATGTGTAGCTGTTGCTCAGCTAGTTTTTAGTTTTCTTCTGGAGGAAAATCTTCCATGTGTAGCTAAAGAGTTGTTGTGTCCTTTGGAGGAGGTGAGTTGAATATCTTTCCATATCACTACCTTGAACTACAACAGAGAAATTAACTTTCTACTGGTGAAATTATGATGTAGTCAAGGTTAAACACTAAACTGAACATGAAAGGAAACTGGTTGAAAACATCAAACATGATTAGTTTTCCCTTGTGGAAACCCAGGTGTGTGTATTAGCACACTGAACATAAACAGTCACACTTCACTTATTCTAACATGGTCCTTAGCCTTAATGGGCTATGACAGCCCAGTATCATCCTGTTTCTCACTTGCTACGCAAAAGCAATCCCCAGCGCCAGTTAAGTCCCTTCCCACGTTCTTATCTTGTCTATAAAAAAGTATGGCACCAAATCATAAAAGTTAGCATTATATGCATGGGTTTGAGGTAGATCTGGCCATGAACCCTGGTGTCATTAACTTCTAGGACCATGGAATTCATGCATTTAGCTCCGGTAAGAGTTATGGATGGTCTTCATATCTTTATAATGGATCTGGTTATCCCTACTGGTTCTAACTACAGCTGGCATGTTCTAGTCCAGCATTGCCTGTCAGTACATGGCTCCGAGGTTTATGTTAACTTCCCTCCAAATCGTCTCCATCATGACTTGGTCTAGTGCCCACTGCTGAGTCATGCTGTCCTTGTTAGACATAAAAGCTCACAGAACACCAATGTCAGAAAAAGACACTTTGTGACTATGATAAAATGGGGTAAGAAAGGAGGAAAACCATGTCACAGGGATCGTTGATCCCTGGCTAATATGACTGACTAGTACTTGATCAATTACAGCTCTTCACACCATCTATTCCTTCCTTAACTATTCCCACCTGTAACACTTGATATGGTACAGTCAACCACTGACTTGAGCATACAAAGTGTTGAAATTTGTACACAATGTGCAAGTAAAAGGTAAAAGCACAATTACCCAAGGAAAAGAGTAAGGATTCCAGATCTACAGACCTTGAACTGGAGAAAGCAGTAGGTGGATGTCACCACTTCAACCCCTCAGTAGCCATATACAAAGGAAAAGATCTCACACCAAAGCTGGACACCAACTTACCCCTTCAACATAAAATGACTTGGGGAGAAGTTGCCAGCCTGTCTGTAGCACTCTTACCTGAGTCAGTAAAGGCTGTGAAGCAATGGTGGGAGGTCATGATTCTAACCAAGTATCTCCAAGTCAGGCAAGAATTTGATTGCACCCAGTTTTACTGCTGGCTAGAAGCAAGTAAATAATCAATATGTAACCTGTCCTAAACCTCAACTACCGAAGACCCCGAGTGTCCAGTCAGTTACTCTGTGTCCTATCTACGTAGCCAGGAGGCCCCACTCCTCAGTGCAGTCAGGCTGGGGACCCCTTTCCCTTCCTCCCATCCAGCCCATAAGCCGGGCTCACAGCATCAGACCCGCTCCTCTTGGAGGTGGCCGGTGCCCGGGAACGCCTTCCTCTTCTTCATAAAATGCGGAGATCCACACAGGCCAACAAGGCCTTACCCTGTGAAAACGCTAATGAGGTCACTGAGGTGGGGAGGAAGGGAGGAACACTGCGTAGGCCTGGGACCTGCAGGTGAGTGTACAGGTGCGCGCGTGCGTGTGCCGGCGGGCGTGTGTACTTGTGAGCACAAATGTGTGCGTGTGTGCAGCTATGCCTGCAGTCAGAGTCCTTTCTTAGGTCTCAAGCTCTCACCCACGCACACTTGAGAGTCTCCTTCCTTCCTTCTTCTCTCCCTCCCTCCCTCCCTCTCTCCCTCCCACTCTAACTCCCGCTCTTCAGGAGGCCTGAGAGGGGGCACATGAGAGGACTCTCCAGAGAAGAGTGGGGAGCAGAACAGGCCAATTGACTGAAATACACTGCTGAGGGGAGCAGCAGGTGAGACAGGAGAGGTCTGCTGTGCCATGTGGGTCAGCTCCCTGGCCAGGGATCAAACTCATGCTGCAGTGGCTACAGTTAGCTTCATAGTGCAGCACTTAACCCCCCTGCACCACCAGGGAGGGCCTGATCATCAGTCTTCTGTCCAGCTCAGAAGCTCCAGACCGGGCTCCTGTCTGGTAGCTTAGAGGCCTAAACCCTGGGGAAGGAGGCAGCCTGCTATGTATGAAGAGCCCCAGGAGACTCTGTGGCAGGGCCCTTCCTTCTTCCCAGTGCTCTTGCTGAGCCCCCCGCAGAGCTGGCGACAGCCGCACCCTGGCGGGATCCCCAGGGCCACAGGACACCATTGCTTGTCTTTTGTTTACTCCCCTGAAAAACTGACTCCCGGGCAGATCCCTGAGTGCCTGCGTCTCTGCAGGTGCCGCTATCTCTCTCCTTTGCCTGACAAGCCTGTCCTTCTTGTAAGGTCCCGTGGGTAGAATAAGGCAAGGAGACAGAAATAAGAGAGGGGAAAGCTTTATTGCGCTCCTGGGCAAAGTTTGCAGGCCCAGCGGGGGCCTGGAAAGTCAAGCCAAGTGTACAGGCTAGAGGTCTTTGACAGTCCCTGCTCTGTCGGCCTGGCGAGCTAGTGGGAAAGTACCAGGGAGCCTTTCTGCCCTTCTGGTCAGCAGTTACCATTTGTTCAGGGTCTTTGATCCTTATCAAAGCAGCTACCTGGGGGAGGGAGTGGCTACCTGTGACAGCATCCTGACTCCGTCTCAGCAGCCAGCTCATCTTGATACCACCATATATTGATACCTTTGGCACTCTGGGGGTCTGGGTGTGAGGCCTGGGCGAGGGGCTTGAGTGAGGGGCCTGGGTGACTTTTCATTCCCACCTTTTTGATGGAATAAGGGCGACGAAGTCTCTCTGGCTACTTCCTGCTGGCAAGGGGCGTCGTGGGGCCTTAGCAGGAAGAAAAGTCACAGGAGCGGGTTTGGGGTAAGGGGTAGTAAGGGTATAGCAAGGATTGGTTGAAAGTTGTTCGTATCATCATCTGCATTCGGTTTTGAATACACCGAAGGGGGCAGGGAGCAAAAGCGAAAAATAACATAATTAGAATGATTGCCCCTGCGAGTAGGGCCAACCAGGCTAACATGAGAAAGGAGATCCATCTCCATGCACCCTTCTCTGATGGGGAGCCATCAAGGCCCTTGACAATGTTGTTAAGCTTACTTAGGTCTTGTTCGACCACCCCAGATTCATTAATATAATAGCAGCATTCTTCCCTAAGAAAAAGACAAGTCCCCCCTTTTTCAGCTGTTAGTAGGTCAGTAGCCCTCTGGTTCTGTAAGGCTATACCAGCCAGGAAGGTGAGTTGTCGTTGGAGGGCCGTGATTGAGGAGGATGCTGTTTTTGCAGCCTGTTGGATTTCCTGAGCCAAATCCTCAGCCCTTGAGAAGCTATGGCCAAGGGCTCCTCCCGAAATTCCAGATGCTGCTATCAAGTTGGTAAGGCTGATTCCTACGACAAGGGGCAACAAGATGGCTCTTTTGGAGCATGGTGTGGAGAGCAGCCAGGCAAATTCGGCCTGACCATACAGTGTGACTTGTGGCACTACCAAAACTGTGAGGCACGGGCCTGGGGTTGAGGCATTTATACAGGCCCAAACCAAGCCATTGCACCAGAACAAGCTGCCCCTTGGGGGAGTGGTAGGTCCGGTGACTGTTTGGTTTAGGGCACAGCGATGACTGTGGGTCCAGATAGAGTTTGCGGTCTTGTAGCAAGTGACGGGAGGAAGTAAGTGGTTTATACTTGGCTCCCAGAGAGGGATGGCAAGCTGGAGAGCAGGGATGGTTATGTCGCAGCCCTCTGTGCCTGGTGCCGAATTTGTAGGGACCGCTGCTAGTGGGTTATGGGTCAATGAGGCACAAAGAAAGCAGTTAGTTGTAGCAAAATTAGAGGTGGATTTGAAGAGAGAGAGAGCATTTTCAAGAATGTGCATCCATGAGGTACATCCTGAAGAGGATTTATGTTCAAGTTGTGATTTAAGTTGTGTTTCCATGTGTAGAACATCTGAGGAGACGTGTACCAAGTTATCAGATGGTGGTATGAAAACATATTGTCGTGAGAAAGAAATAGTACAGATTGGGTACGTTCGGAACCCGGTGTACACAGCTGCCCTAACACCCTTCTCCCATTTTGTGTCCCAAGGATCTGAAACAGTGAAGTTCCACCAGTTGCGTTCCCTGCTGGGGTGTGAGATAAATGCTTGGAACTCAGAGGAGGGATAGCCTGGAAA